TGAGCCCAGGGACGATCTAAGTAGGCCCCCATAGGCACCCAGAAGAACACTCACGACAATCCCATGTGGGCCATTGGAAGTCCTTGACGCCCGCGTGCGTGGGTGGTGGGGGGTGGGGGGGGGGGGGGGGGGGGGGGCGGGGGTGGGAAATGACCAGTCTTCAGGGCGCTCATGGGGGAGGGGCTTCAATGGGCCTCGGAGGACCTCCGCACGCTAACTCGCGGTCCTTCTTATGGCTTCGTTGGGCATTTATAGCCCACCAAAAGCGCTTCACACGACCTCAGGAAATGGTTCAGAACGCTTCCCAAGGGCACATGCAACGCCCTCAACGAGCTTCCATGGGGTCATTCACAGGGGGAAGAACCACCCACCTCATACGAGGCAGTAGGGTCCTCCACAAGTGCCCTGGGGCGGCTTTCACGCGCTCGCATCAGACCCCCAGGAGGTCTCCGAGAGGGCCTTCGCGACCCCCTCACACCACCCAAAAGTCTCACCAGGGGATTGTTGGCCCAAATCCCAAGAACTTGCTGTAAAGCTTCCCAAAAGCGCACCAGAGAGCCTCATGAGGCCAGCCCCCATCAGGCCCCCCCAGGATGCCTCAATCGATCCCTGAGGGAACCCTGCGACTCCTCGAGGAGCTTGGGCGGACCTGACACGCGCCCACTTGCATTGCCCAGCCACCTGCTGCTACTCCCTTCTGCCGTACTTTCCATGCCCTACCTCTTGCGATTGCTCTAGGGCGAAACGGTTTCAGGCGCCTCGCTGTACAGGAGCTTCAGGGGGACATGTCCGTTTGTGTTTTTCCTTGTCACAAAGTAGAAAGCATGATGGGGGAACATCCAACCTGCGTTCTTCCCTCTCGCAAGCCCAGGAGGAGCCAGCAGGGGAAAAAAACACGCGTCTGATGGAAAAAAAGCAAAGAGGAGAGGGACATTTAGATAATGCAATTTCCCTCTCCGAAACCCAGTACGACCTGCAGAGAAAATTTAATATGGCAAATTTCCTTCTGTTTAACTGATGCAAGTCGGCGGGGTAGCTAGATTTCCCTTTCTGTAATGTAGGCAAGTACTCGGACCCTCGAGACACCCAGAGGTGAGGAGGGTGAGGTTCGCACCTCATGGGACGCGCGCGCTTGCGAGTCGCTGCTCGCTCCGTCCCCCCTCGCACTCTATGCTGGTCATAGGGGGAAGAGGGCCCTTTCAGAACTCAAAGGGCGAGGGGGGGGGGGAAATGGCAGGTGGGCGGGGGGGGCGGGGGGGAGGAAGGGGAGTGAGATCAGGGGGGGCTAGGGGGGGGGAGGAGGAGGAGGAGGAGGCGGCTATTGAGGGAGTAGTAGGTGGGGTATAGGAGGGGGAAGGAGAGGAGAAAGGTAAACCATGAGCGGGGCCAAAACGTGTCACCCGTAGGACATCCGGTCGAACACGTATTGGTTTGCCACCCCCGAGGCGCGAGAAAAAATCGGGGTGGCCGGTTGTTCTTCCCCCCTCCCAGGCGACATTCAACTTCCAGCAATATGCTAAGGAAGCCAGGCGCTCGGCTATTCCTCAGTTGTTTTTCCCAACCATCCTGTGGTGTTGGGTCCTCGTTTTGAAGAGACGGTGCCCGCGTCCTCTCCTCTCCTCCTCTCCTCCTCTCCTCCTCCTCCCCCTCCTCCTCCCTCCTCCTCCCTCTCCTCCCTCCTCTCTGCGTTTCACCCACCCATTACAGCGTTTCGTGGCCCCATAGGGAGCTCCACCGAAGGCCCCAGTGGGGGTGTTCGCATGCGGTTCCCCCACCCAGGGCAGCGTTTCGTAGCCCCATAGGGAGCTCCACCGAAGGCCCCAGTGGGGGTGTTCGCATGCGGTTCCCCCACCCAGGGCAGCGTTTCGTGGCCCCATAGGGAGCTCCACCGAAGGCCCCAGTGGGGGTGTTCGCATGCGGTTCCCCCACCCAGGGCAGCGTTTCGTAGCCCCATAGGGAGCTCCACCGAAGGCCCCAGTGGGGGTGCATTTCGGGCAGCGTTCGTGGCCCCATAGGGAGCTCCACCGAAGGCCCCAGTGGGGGTGTTCGCATGCGGTTCCCCCACCCAGGGCAGCGTTTCGTGGCCCCATAGGGAGCTCCACCGAAGGCCCCAGTGGGGGTGTTCGCATGCGGTTCCCCCACCCAGGGCAGCGTTTCGTGGCCCCATAGGGAGCTCCACCGAAGGCCCCAGTGGGGGTGTTCGCATGCGGTTTCCCCCACCCAGGGCAGCGTTTCGTAGCCCCATAGGGAGCTCCACCGAAGGCCCCAGTGGGGGTGTTCGCATGCGGTTCCCCCACCCAGGGCAGCGTTTCGTGGCCCCATAGGGAGCTCCACCGGCCCCATGTTCGCATGCGGAGGGCAGCGCATAGGGAGCTCCACCGAAGGCCCCAGTGGGGGTGTTCGCATGCGGTTCCCCCACCCAGGGCAGCGTTTCGTGGCCCCATAGGGAGCTCCACCGAAGGCCCCAGTGGGGGTGTTCGCATGCGGTTCCCCCACCCAGGGCAGCGTTTCGTAGCCCCATAGGGAGCTCCACCGAAGGCCCCAGTGGGGGTGTTCGCATGCGGTTCCCCCACCCAGGGCAGCGTTTCGTGGCCCCATAGGGAGCTCCACCGAAGGCCCCAGTGGGGGTGTTCGCATGCGGTTCCCCCACCCAGGGCAGCGTTTCGTGGCCCCATAGGGGGCTCCACGGAGAAGGCCGAAGCCCCCAGTGGGGGTGTCGTTCGCATGCGGTTCCCCCACCCAGGGCAGCGTTTCGTGGCCCCATAGGGAGCTCCACCGAAGGCCCCAGTGGGGGTGTTCGCATGCGGTTTCCCCACCCAGGGCAGCGTTTCGTAGCCCCATAGGGAGCTCCACCGAAGGCCCCAGTGGGGGTGTTCGCATGCGGTTCCCCCACCCAGGGCAGCGTTTCGTGGCCCCATAGGGAGCTCCACCGAAGGCCCCAGTGGGGGTGTTCGCATGCGGTTCCCCCACCCAGGGCAGCGTTTCGTGGCCCCATAGGGAGCTCCACCGAAGGCCCCAGTGGGGGTGTTCGCATGCGGTTCCCCCACCCAGGGCAGCGTTTCGTGGCCCCATAGGGAGCTCCACCGAAGGCCCCAGTGGGGGTGTTCGCATGCGGTTCCCCCACCCAGGGCAGCGTTTCGTGGCCCCATAGGGAGCTCCACCGAAGGCCCCAGTGGGGGTGTTCGCATGCGGTTCCCCCACCCAGGGCAGCGTTTCGTAGCCCCATAGGGAGCTCCACCGAAGGCCCCAGTGGGGGTGTTCGCATGCGGTTCCCCCACCCAGGGCAGCGTTTCGTGCCCCATAGGGAGCTCCACCGAAGGCCCGCCCCGGTGGCGCAGTCCGCATGCGGTTCCCCCATCCAAGGCAGCGCTTCGTGGCCCCATATGGAGCCCCACCGAAAGCGGCACCCACAACGCGTTACCAACAATTGCTTATGGTTGGGTCTTTCGCCAGGATAATTTTTTTTGGGGGGGGGCACTGCCTTGAGGAGATATCTTGGGGCTCTTGGGGCTTTAGGTTCTTTGGGCTCTTGGGTTTGTAGGCTCTTACGGGATATCTTGGGGCTTTAGGATATTGGGGCTCTTGGGACTTTAGGCTGTCGGTGCCCTTGGGGGTGTCTTGAGGGGTATTTTTGCGCTCTTTGGGGTTAAGACTCTTTGGGCTCTTGGGGCTTTAGGCTCCTGGGGGGTGTCTTGGGGCTCCTCGGTTTCTTTGGGCTTTGGGCTCTTTGGGGTATCTTCGGGCTTTGGGCTCTTAGGGCTCTTCGGGCTTTGGGCTCTTGAGTTTCTTGGCTGTGGGCGTTGCCACGTGTCGAGCAGGCGCGGGCTTTGCCGCGCGTCGAGGGCAACCTGTCTGCGTTGATGCCTTGCGGCCATGCCGCGACCCCCGATTGTGAACAAAAATCAAATCTTTTGAAACAGCGTCAATATAGAATATAGAAAGAGGATGACGAGGAGGAGAAGGAGGATGAGGAGGAGGCAAGATGATGAGGATAATAATGAGGAGGGGGAGGAGGATGAGGAGAAGAAGGAGGAACGCTGTTTCAAAAGAATTGGTTATCGCCACAGGGGGGCGCTGTTTCAAAAGATCTGGACTGAGCCGAAGAACCGTTCGAAGGCGGTGCCGTAGAGAGTCCAGGGAGGGGGTAGGGGTCGTTCGGAATTGTGCCCTGCTGTCGGGGATGCCGTTGGGGCCCCCCTGCAGCAGGAAACGGTTCTGGCGGCTCACACCTCCTCCCGCTTCTGCAGTTGAGGACTCCCCCTCCGCTCCTGCCCCTCCTCCTTGTCCTCCTGCTCCTCTTCCTCCTCCTTCTCCCCCTCCTCCTCCTCCTCCTTCTCCTCCTCACCGTCTCCATTGTTGTGTTCCTCATCATCCTCTTCCTCTTCCTCCTCGCCCTGCTTATCCTCCTTGTTCCTCCCTCCTCCTCCTTCTCCTCCTTCTCCTCCTCCTTCCCACCCTCCTCCTCTTCACGCATCCTCTTTCTCATCCTGCTCCTCTTCATCCTTTGCCTTCTCCATGCCCCCTCCCTCCTACCTCGCCACCCCGACCTTCCTCATCGGTCTCCTCCCACTCTTTCTCCTGCCCCCATCCCTCCTCATCCCTCCTCCTGCTTTCTCCCTCCTTTCGCCTCCTCACCCCACCCCCTCCTCCTCCTCCTCCCCCTCTCCCTCCTCGTCGCCCCCCTCCTCCTCCTGCCCGCTTGCTTGAGGATCCCGGGCCAATGGAACCCCGAAAGACCAGGGGCAGTGAACACCCGATGAACAATGGAAGCCCAGGGACACCCGAGGACCCAAGGACCGATGCAACAAGTTTCTGTTCGGCTCAGTCCATGGGGGTGGCACCGCGTGGGTCCGACCCCACCAGCACATGCACATCAATTGTTTCAGTCAAGCGATCGTGTCCGTAACCATGTTGACTCAATAGCTTCAGGGCTTGAGTTGCCCCATTTTTTCACTTCGAGACGTGAATGCATGTGAGGACATCTGGCGCCGAAGCTGCCGATGTCGACAGCAGGGACGGTCGTGGCCAAGTCTGGCCGCCGTGGGAAATGTCCATGCTCCTTCTGCGAGCAGAACGCACCAGCGGGCCAGTGCGAGAAGATCGGTGAGTTGTACTTGTGCGGAGAGTGTCAGGGCTTCGCCAAGACGTCGGGCTACGAGTTCAGAGCGCTGGTGCACATGAAATCAAAGGCGCCAGCAAGATGGAAGGAGCGCAAGGCCCAGAAAGAGGAGTGGAAGGCTGGCAAGACAGCGGACGCTAGCCAACGAGGGTTCGAAGGAGAAGAGGTCTACGAGGAGATCGTCCAGGAGAGTTCTTTAGCTGAGGAGTTTACCTTCCAGCCTCGCGACGACTTCAAGGATGAGCACGGCTGCTTGCCCGACCAGGCGAAGGCGATGACGTTGCGACTGACGAACGCGAAGGGCGAGGATTCCTTCGGAGTGGTGGTCCTACATGACGATGCGAAGCCACCGACGCTCAGGGTCACGACGACGAGACGGCTCTTTCGCAAGTTTCCGATTCTGAAGCCAGAGAAGAATTTCTACAGAGCCCAGCCCAGCACCCTCTTCGGGAACCTGTCCAATGATCGGGCACGCGCGCACGGGCAGAGATTCGGCAACAAGTACCAGCCCAAGGCCAAGAAGTTCAGCGCCTACTCCAAAGAGTGCATCAAGGCTCACGTGGAGAAGAACTTTTCGAAGGCGAAGGGCTTGCGCCGCCTCGTGGAAGGAGGGGACCCCGATCACGACGACGACTCCATGGGCGACTGCAGCAGCGATGCTGGGGGGTCCGAGGATGGTGGAGACAACGCCGCGGCCCCTGCGGCTTCTTCAGCGGCTGCCTCCCCAGCAGCCGCGGTGGCAGCGGCCTCGGAGCCGCCTGGGGCTGCAGTGCCAGAGACGCCCAAGCCCGCGAGGCCTTCTCCTGAGTCGGCGCCATCAGGTCCTTAGGCCAAGCGCGAGGACGTTGCAGCTGACAGCCCATCTGTATTGCAAACGCCCAGCGCGAAGAGGCACAAGACGAAGACTGGAATCGCACCCTCCGTGGCCGACCTTACGGGGACGCAGCTTGGCGACAGCGAGGGCCGCTTGAAGCCTCCAGAGTACTGACACGCCGCTGTTGCCGCGTCCAAGGCGTTCGCAGGCGTGGACTTGAAGAGGAACGTTGCCTGGGCGAAGGACTGCGTCGCGCGCTTGGCAGCCCGGGGCGAGGCGGTGTCGGCGAACCACCTCTCTGATCACATCGCGGCGGTGGGGTTGTCCATGCAGCTGATGCGCGACCTTGGCAACGATACTTACTCCTTCGGCGACTTGAAGGGCACCCTGACTAAGCTCGTCGACGCGAAGGTGGATTTCGATTCCAACATCAAGAGCAAGCTCCTTGGGAAGAGGCTGTGCTCGTCTGTCATCGCCTTCGGGAAGGAGGAGTCCGACGACGCTGCCATCTGTGAGCTCGTATCCGTCATGATGCCGTTCAAGGCTGGTCAGCACGCAGCCGACGAGGACGCGGTCTTGGAAGGCACCGAGGTCACGGAATTGATGACGGCACGCGCTGAGGAGGAGTTCGGCCCGATCAATGTGTCCATGGCAACAATCGACGGCACGATGGAGTACAAGTTCACGCTGCTGCTGACGGTGCTCTTGAAGGAGATCATCCCTGCGGTGATGGTGGTGGAGTCTGGTCAAGCTTCATCGGCTCGCCTGCTCACTGCCATGCTGGTCCAGTTCGAGACAGGCGTTGAGGAGGAAGCCCAGGTCCCGACGGCTGCCGTCGATGTGCTGAACGTGCCCCGCGTCATGTGCGCCCTCTCCGACCCAACTGCCAGCGTGGACTTCGAGGTGCTGGAGGAGTTCTACGCCGTGCAGGCCAAGAAGACCAAGGGCGCGCTTGCGGATCTGGGCGTCGTGCTCCGGTTGAACGATCACTGGAAGCCGCTCTACGAGGAGTTGCATCGCACCCTGCAGGGCGCCAAGGAGTGGATCCCCAAGATGTTCAAGTGCGCCGAGGCGGTTGGCAACGTCAAGCGCAACTTCAACGGGCTCGAGCTTCCCCATCCGATTGTCACGGAGGTGATCGACATCATCAAGACGATTCGATCGACATTGCGAACGGGCTCCTCGCACGTGCTCGAGGTCAGTTGCAGCGGGCTCATCGGGATGATCATGGAGAGCATGTTCGACAACAATGGCGTGAAGAAGAACGGCGACGGCTTCGCCCGTGAGGAGCTGGCTGCCGCCACCAAGGTCTTCGAGGACGGCGCGGCCCTCAAGATTATGGCAGAGGAGTTCGGCGTGAAGGCGATTGCTGACATCAACGCGGTCATCGAAGCTGCAGGCGTTCGTGAGGTCGTGGACGGACTCCTGAAGAAGATGGCCGATGGCGTCAAGGGGCCAACTGGGAAGATCGACGTGAATCTCGTGCGTGTCATCCTCCTCGATGCCCAGGGGGTTCAAGATGGTGCGGTTGCCCAGGACAACCAGGCGGCGGTTCTTCACTTCTGCAGTGGCGTGTGGGACGATATCAAGAGCGACGCGACTAGCGACAACGGGAACATCGCGGGGATGATGATCGATATCTCTGGCATCATCCCCAACAGCAACATCAAGAGCATCTTCACGGCGTTCAACGCGATGGTGCAAGCGAAGGCTGCCATGGCTGCCCACGTGGAGGTCTGCCGCGGCGAGTCGGAGGGCAGCCGCGTCAGCGACAAAGAGCCCATGGACAAGATGGAGACAATGATGTCGAAGAAGCAGGCGCTCGACAAGGCCTTGCGCGATGTCGGCGGGGACGAGCGTGCTGCGATCATGCAGGAGACGAGCAACGCCATCAAGCTCTACGTCGACAACCAGGGCAACAATGCCATGAAGCTGCTGGAGACGGCACTGGGCAGTGGACTGGAGGCGACTGCGACGTGGGCTCAGGGTTCTGGCGACGGAGAGTTGCGGTGGAAGGCCGTGCAGGACGTGAACGACTTGACGGAATTGTTGGCGAGGGCTGGCGCGACGGTGTGCGAGAGCAAGGCGGACCGCTACCTCGACGAGAAGACTGACCTCGAGAGGATGGCTAAGCACTACGAGGACGTGGCCAGTGTGTTTCAGAAGCCCACGCAGCAGGAGCTCAATATGAAAGTGCTGGAGCTGGCTGGGGCCCTGGCGCAGTCGTACATCGAAGGCCTCGTGTGCGTGCTGTTTCAGAGCACGGAGTACACGAAGGAGGAGAGGAATAAGAAGGTGCACGGCATCAAGATGCTGGCTGGCCGCATGAAGGCCAAGTGGCAGAGCATGCCGCAGGGGTTGCTCGAGAGGGCCGCGAAGGCCCTCAAGCTGCAGTAGACTTGCAGCGCGCAGCGGCTTTCGCTGCGAACTGGGGGGTGGGGTTGTCAACACAGAAAACCAACCGACATATCATCAATATCAGCAAGAACAGCAACGCATTAGCAGCAGCCTCAATGACAGCATCGGCACCCACACCAACAGCATCAGCATCGCCCCCCCAATCCACCCCCTCAAGTTCCTCCTCCTCCCCCGTGGCACTGTGCTCGCTGTCGCGACGACCCATCGCATTCCTCGTCGCCATGTGTTCCCGTCGCTCTTGAGACCCCGTCTGCCGCCGCCGTCGGCGCCGTGGTCTTGCCCCCCCCTGGGCCCGTGGACTCACCGCCGTCCTGGATGACCCGGCAGCGCTTCTCGACCCGCGGGAGGCGGGTGGCCGCTCCAGCCGACGATGGCGACGACGGCGGTGGCGACGGTTAGGGCGGCGACAACGGCGACAAGAGGGGGAGAGGGGATAGGATGGCGAGAAGACCGCGCAAGGTGAGAAAGATGAGCAGGAGGAGGATTGGGAAGGGAGAGGAAGAAGGATACCACGGAGGAGGAGAAGGAGGAGGAGGAGGAGGGAAAAGGAGGGAGAGGGAGGGGAGGCGGGGGAGGGGCGAGGAGGAAGGGGAGGGCGAGGAAGACGTGCGAGGGGGGGATGGGGGGGGAGGGAGGATGAGGGGTGATCAAGAGGAGGGGGGGGGGGGGGGGGGGGGAGAAGGGAGACAAGGAAGATGATGATGGGGAAGAGGAAGAGAAGGATACGGGAGGATGAATGAGGTGGGTAGGATGAGGTGATGGGATCATGGCAACGGGGTAAGAGGGGACATGAGGATGAGATGGTTGGGTGATGGGTAAACTGGGGCGGTGGTGATGGCGCGATTGTGGCGACGGAGTACGAGGGTGATGATTCGGGCAAGGAGTGGGTCGTAGAGGCAAAAGGGGAATGATGAGGGAATCGGGCGTTGATGGGGATAAGGATGGTCGGGTAGCCTTCAAGTTATGACGGGGGCGTGGTCAATGAAGGGACTGGTGATTTGATGGGGGGCGAGCGGGGGAGGGGGAAGGGCGATGAAGGATGAGCCTGATGGCGCAAGGTGCATCACACGGGTCGGAGGGAAGAGGAGACGAGGGGAAACCGCACGGGAGAGGAGAGAGGTAGGGCGACGTTGGAGAGGAGAGGGGGGGGACGGAATGGGAGGAGGAGATGAGGCGGCTGGCGGCAGGAGAGAAGAGGAGGAGAAGGAAGAACTTATTTTCGCGTCGCGGGTACTAGCGCGGCCCAATATGTTGCCACAACGGCTTAACGATGGCCCAAGATGCCTCCAAGACGGCTCTGAGGCTACTGAAAGACACGGGCGTGGCTTAAGAAGTTGCAACATGTGCTAAAGTGGTAGCGGAGCGCTTGCGTCAATGGCGCGAGCTGCGGCTTGTGCGCTGCCAAGTTTGCACCGTGGCGCATGTGACAGCCGCGAGCGTGAACATCGCCTTGATCGGTGAAATTATTGCTGAAACGCGCGCGCAGAAGCAAGCGCAAACCTTAAAAACACACGACGCGGAGAAGGAAACAATGCAGAAGGAAAAGAAGAAGGGCTTTGGTGAAAAAACTCTTTTCCAAAACAGCCTTGCAGAAGCTTTTTCATAGCTCTGCGATACCTTTGCGGTACCTTTCGGCGGAACCCAACATAGCCTCTGCAGAAGCCTGGCGGGGAAAAACACAGAGCTTTTTGATCACAGGCTGACAATGCAGGGCAGGATAGACGACCCCCTCTCAGTCAAGCGCCAAGCGCGAGACGTTGCAGGTCGCGTCCAGCTTTGGCCCCTGATTTGTAACGTAGTAGATGCCGCGAAGCAAGTCAGGGACGCCCGGCCCGGCAAGGGTACATGTGCCGACGCACGGTTGTGTCAGCCTCCAGTTTGCCGCTTCATGGAAGGCCCCTTGGTGGACAAACCTCGATCGGACCCCGTCGCCGCACGGCCCCGAGTGGGTCGGGCATTGCTGCCAGAAGTGCTGGCGCAGTTCGTCCAGCCAGGATGTCTGCGGCCATGATCGCAGCTTCGCCCACTCACTTGCCCCATCTAGCGCCTTCAATAATTATAAGCCCGTCAAAGAGGCCGCCGCTCCCTCACCGGCCCAGCCGGGAGAGGAAAAGCGAGCTAATGCGCTGACTGGGCAGGCAAAAGAGGTGCGTGACGAAAAGTCCATTAGTTGCTCGCGCGGGAAGCGCATTTTCCATGGAGAACCGCTCATCTTTCCCTGTCGGAGCACCCGGCCTGGCGACGGTGCGGGCGCTCTGCGAAGACCACCAAAGGATGGAGCTGGCGCTACGCAATGGAGCGGCATGACGTCAAGCATCCGCGGGACTACCAAGTCGCTACCGCGTTAAAGGCTGACCTGACCGCCAACTCACAGACGATCTACGACCGTTTGTTTTCCAATGTCTCGGAGGACCCGTGGGTCGTACATTGGACGATGTTCGATAGAATGGCCTCGCGCCGCTTAGACTGCGTTCCTCCTAAGGTTTCTCAGATTCCCGAGGGTACTCATTTTCAATCGTACCCCGGCGACGCCACGAAGATGGTCTGCAAGCTGTACGCCGCAGAGCCAGGGCAGAAAGGCCGCTTTGTTCGTGAGCTCAGGAGAGGCGAAGTTGCCGGCCCCACCGTTGGCCCAGCCAGGCGGTGCATCACGGGCTACGGCGACTTCGTCTGCGTTCCGGTAGTAGACACTGTGACTGATGGCTCTCCTGTCGTTTGGATGAACATCTGGGGCCCATCAATGCACTCTCTGCCCCGCGGCCAAGCCGTAGGGGACGGGTGGGGCACCATGTTTGCCCTGCTTGTTGTCAAGGGCCATTTCCACAAGCCAGCTCACGTGGTTGAGGAGGCCCTCACCGAGTCAGCCAGAGCCAATTACTTTCAATCCTTCCCCGACCAGGCCAGGGCCTGGCGCGTGGCCCTCACTCGACACACGCGCCCTCTTGATTTTCAAGCATGGCTCGAACGCTTAGGGCTTGGATCGAGTGCAGGCGAGAGCGGAGAACAATGCATCACAGCAGACGCCGCAGCCGAAACGGCTCGCTCGCGCGACCCAGTCGTTGCGAGCGAGAAGCCGCCGCGGCCTGAAGCTCCCCCAGAGCCTGAACCCGAGGCGCCTCCTGAGGAGCCTCGTGAGGAGGAAAGCGATGACCCAGTCATCGACTTACCCCGCATTGTGTCCTGCCCACATGGCCGCGGCCCCAGAGGAGAGGCCCAGAATTTAGAGAAGCATCTACCGCGTTGCAGGAAGGCGCCGCAAGGGCGGAGATTGCGCGAGCAGCGACCGGCCGACCCAGTCGGCCCGGCCAGCAAGCGAGCGAACACCGCGACGGCGCCTCCACTGCTTCACCCGCTGCCACCAAAGCTTCCTGATACTCAAGGAATTGGGCGTCAGGCGGCTGGCGGGCAACCTGCAGGGTCGACCTCAGGTGCAGCTGCCCCGCCCAGCCAAGCCGATGGCGGGGCCGGCGGTGGCTCCTTCCCCGGCCCAGCCGATGGTGGAGGAGCCCCGCCCGGCTCAGGTGGCCCTCCCATTGGGAGCCCTCCGCCCTCTGGCGGCCCCCCTGGGGGCGACGGCGGAGGCGGGCCCCCTGGTCCAGTGCCCATGGAAATCGATAATGGCGGCCAGGGCCCGCCCTACCTTGGGAGCGGTGCCTGGAATGTTCTCGATTACCAGTGGAACAAGGGTAATTACGCCGAAAATGTCAACGCGCCTTCGCCCGAGTGGGACGCACGCGTGACCGAGTTTCTTCAACTTTATGTTGACGTGACTGATCCTCGCTTGAAGGCCTGGACGAACAAGTTGTCATTCCAGGAGAAGTGCCAGGCCATAACTCAGGTTGCCCGCCAGAGTGGGCAACCCTGGGTGCCATTTGTTGGCGAGGACATTGCGGCCATGGCGAAGACTGGACAGGCCCCCACGAGTTTTTGATCCACCCTTCGTGCAATATGCAAGCTACGAAGAAACACAAGTTCTGGTCCTGTACTGCTCATCCAGGCTCCGACTCAACGGTCTCGTTCAAAACGGTGGCCGGCAATCATCTTACGCCAGGGTTTCGTATTCCGCATTTCTTGGGTGACCACATTCACGGCATGTCTGCTAACGTCAAAGGAGGCTGCCGAGGCCCAGACCTCCGGGAAGCCTCCAAGACACATAGCTGGTCGGACTCAGGGCATGATCATTATAACAAGGGAGTTCATACACCAGTGCGTTTCGTTTTGGTCCTTCAATGATATTGCCGATCCTTGAACGTACAACTGACTTGGCATTCGTGTGGAGGGTAAGTCAGGGGTGCCCGCTCGGCCCGAGAAACCGACGATTCTCGCAGGAGCCCTCCGTCTCATGCTCGAGACCGCCATAGACGACGCTGTAAAGCGCTCGCACGATGGTACGATCGAGATTTCGTACATCGGCGGAGATCACAGGTGTTGGCAGCCCCCAGAGGGCAGCTTCAAAGTTGACCCGCTATGGGACGATGTTGCCACCCTTGTCCGAGCTCAGATGAACCGTCGGATTGAGGACTGCAAGGCCGCGGGTGTAAAGCCACGCATCATGATTCTTGACGGTGCGTGCCTTTACCGCCAGATGCATCACCCCACTGGCGACTCGTACGTTTTCCTGTCAGCTCACAATGACTACAATATCGAAAAAGACTGACACATGGTGAGTTGCACGGCGGCCGAGATGTTTACGGGACATATGTTTAAGGCAGCGAGGCTCGCCGCTCTGTTCTTTTGCCAACCCTTCGGCGGCCCAGCCGCAGCGGGGGGTAAGCCCTCGTCGAACAAGCGAGAGGACGGGCACACAGCAGTGGGGGCCACCTTCGGAGAGCTAGTCAAATATTGACACGATTGGAGCCCCACTGATGCTAACGTGCCTCAGTCCGTGTTCAACACTCGTCCTTTTCGGATACCTTTAGACCCCTCGAAGTTCCCTGCCGTCCAAGACGGGTCAGGGGAAGGGGCCATACATTCCAAGC